ATATTTACTACGTTAAAAAATTTACTATTATTTTTTACTAAGTTAAAAAAAATATACATGATGGAAGCAAATTTAATATTACTTATTTTTTAAAAATAAATATTTAAAAAATCATGTTTCATACGATATATTTTTGGTGTAATTTTTTTATATGTTAAAAAATATATACATGTGGAAGCAAAATTAATATTGCTTATTTTTTTTTAAAAAATAAAGAGAAAATCATGCTATGGTTATTGTTTAATTTTACGAGTATAAGCATTGGGGAAGTAAATAAAAAAAATACTTATTTTCCTTAATAAATAAAAGAGAAAAAATATTTTTCCTTACTTTTTTTAAATTAAAAATTTTTTTCTTTTTTAAAATGCTTAATTATTATAATTGTATTACTGAAATTTTATTAATATTATCATTTAGCTCAAAAATTTTGATGCGAAAAAAAATTATTGAAAAGGAAGACCATAACCAATTTTACAAAACTTAAAAAAAGAATCAAAACTTGCATTCATAATTTTTCTATTGATAAATATGAAAAATATGAGTGGCTCACTGGATGTGAATTTTCAAATTCTCTATATTGTTGGCCATGCCTATTATTCTCAAAAGAAAAATATGTCTTGAATGATAAAGGATTTTCGGAAATGAATAATTTTTCAAAGGCAGTTAAACGGCATGAAGAATCAACCGCTCATTTGCAGTCGATGATTCAATTAAAAACATTTGGCGAAAATCGTATTGAAAATATTATAGATTCGATGCGTAAAATATCAATCGAACAGGATAATTCAAAAATCAAATAGGGAAATATTGAAAATATTGATCAACTCTATGTTTTCTTGGAATTCATGATGAATCATCTAATTCAGAGAGGAAATTATATTGAAATAATTTATTTGCTCGCAGAAGAAAATTTACTATTGAAACATCATTTAGAAAATAGTACAATTTTTATTGGAATATCATGCGATATTCAAAATGATTTAATAAATTCTATTTCATAAATCTTACACCAAAAAATATTAAATGAATTGGAAGAAACGGAATTTATAATAATAATATTAGATGAAACAACTGATATAAATAATAAATCTCAACTAGCTGTTGTTCTTCGATGTTTTAAATAACGGGACATTGTATGAAAGTTTTATTGAATTCTTTAAATTTGTCATTAAATTCTTGAATGATAAAATAATTATAAAAAATTAATAGGTCAAAGTTACGATGGCGCTGCTGTTATGTCAGGCGTTTCACGTGGACTACAAGCGAATAAGAGACGTCAATCCTTCAGCGCTTTATACTTATTGCTTTGCCCATAAGTTAAATCTTATATTATCAAAATCTTGCAGCAAAATTAAAAATGTAAGGTGTTTTTTACAACTTTATCTGGTTTAGCCAGTTTTTTTAGTACATCATCTAAGTGAACAACGGAATTTGATAAATAAAAAAAAGATTATTTCGAGTAGCCCCAGCGAGATGGGATTTCAATGGTCGGCTGGTTCAAACAGTTTTCATTTGAAGAATCTAGTCGATTTTTTTAAAGTATGATTGATGGAGAATCTGATATTGTTTGGAATAATGTTCTAATAATATCTCGTGGCTATTTAAAAATATTAAATGAAGCAAATTTTCTAATTTTATTATATTTTTTTCAAGAAATTTTGTCAGAATCTGATTTATTATTTGATATACATAAAACTAAAATTAACGATATATCTTATTGTCTTAAAAGTATTAAAGATTGACTAAATTTGTTAGATCAAACCAAAAAAATTTTGATGTTTATTTGAGAAATTTAAAGGTAAAAGAAAAGATTGAAAACAATTTAAATAAAAAACGTAATAGATCCCAGGATTGCTCAATACAAAAGAATTTTATAAAAATTTGATAATTAAAATAACAGATAATATAATCAATGAAATTGATTTTCGGTTCGATACATTAAAAAATATCAAATTCGTCGAATTGTTAGATATTAGTAAATTTCAAATATTTAATCAAATATTTATTAGACAATTAAAATGACAATTATTCTAAATTTTTCGCTCAACACAAGCTGGAAACTGAATTAAAAGTAGTGTTTCGGACTATGAATTTAGAAAGAAAAAGATGTTAATTAAATACTTGAATTTTTAATATGTACCAATTTGATGAAAAGTTTTAGAGTTTTTAAATTATGCAAATTTATCTTAACTTTGGCTTCAACAACAGCAAGTGCAGAACGGGGTTTTTCATCTAAAAAGAATCAAATCTTATTACAGAAACAGGATTTGTTAAAATCGATTATCGAATCTATCTTTGATTTCGATTGAAAATAAATTATTAAAAAATTTAAAATCTAGTAATATTTTTTTTTTATTCAGTACTTGATCATTTTACTCAAATAAAGATGAATTCAACTTATTTATAAATCTTAATTTTTTTTATGGTTTGACTAATAAATAAAAATAAAAAATTTTTTTTGATTGCTTCCCTAGTAGTAAACTTGAAGTTCGTCACTGGTATTTATAACTAGTATTTAATAATTATCTAATAATTTCCTATATTGAGAAATTTTATAAACTTAGTACATATTATGTAATTAAGAACATTATCAAAACCTAGTTAATTTTTTGTTTAAGTGTATTTAATAATTATTACATAATTTTCCTATAAACCTTACATGGCATATAAGTTATCTTACTTAGTACTGGAGTTTTCTAATAGTATAATGGGATATCTAACTTTATATTAAATTTCGTTATATAATTGGAATCTTCCTTTATTAGGGCCTATAAAGATCCCTTGATTTACCTCTATATGAGTCTATATATCCTAGTCATGATGAATTATACTTTTATGCAGCGAATGAATTTTAAAATAACCTTTTTATATATTATTACTAGATAATATCTATTTTGAAACTAATCGCTAATAGAATATTTTAATATGTTTACTTAAAATAGCTTCCTCTCAATCAGTTCTCATTTATAAAGAAGCAATATTTCTTAAAGTAACTTCCTTTAAGTGTCATTAATTATATAGGTGCTGGATATCATTTATCGAATACTAACAGTTAAAGAATATTGGAGGGCTTTCTTAAAATATCTTAAAAATATCATATTAGATACTGACGATCGATAAAGAATTAAAGATCTTCTTTCTTTTTTTTAAAAAAAATAGTTATATGATTACCTTTCTAAAAACTCAGCAGTCATTTGTCAGAAGCTCATAGATAAGTTTTAGAATGGTTTTGCAAGTTTTCCTATCAGAAAAAGCTCGCTTAATGAATTCCCATGATCGAGTTATTGCCGAACCAACTATTCTTATAGGTTAGGAAGGGTTTGATGGTTGACTCCTCAGGATATTTTAAAGAGTGCTCGATATATTAAATTGTTAGGAGCATGTCTAATGATATGTCCTACTAGTTCTATTTTTCTGTATTTCTATATATTGGCAGTGCGTCGCGTTTGGATGGATCAAAAAATATAGTTAGTTATATTGTGCGGGTAGAAGGTTCTGGATATATATCTAAGAAATTTATTAACAAATGTTTGCAACTTTTTATTTTCTGCTTTGCATCGCTCCAAGTTTCAAATAGTATAAGGAAGTAAGTATTAGAACTTTGAGACGGAACTTTAATGGAATTTATATTTGGTTTGATGACGATATTTTCATTAATAACCTATATTTAACTCTAGCGTTATATAATTTGACTATTAAATCTTGTTTAGTATTTCCTCTTCTTTCTAATATTACTCCTAAATATTTTAAATGTACTTCCACAATCGACTTCCCTTGTATCGTTATATTCAAGCGCGATGGGGTGATCATGAGGTCATCATCTTAGTTTTATTACTGTTTATTTCTAACCCAAAGAATTCAGTTTCACAGACAATAATAATTCTCCCATCAGACAAAGATCATCTGCAAATGCAAGAATATTAAGATTCTCAACGCACATCTGTTCCGAGCAAGATGTTATGACTTTCTTTATAATATAGTTTGTAATAAAGTTAAATAAAAGGGGTGATAAAACACATCCTATTTCAATCCAATTTTTATGGGGATTTTTGACCTGTGTGGATTAGGTGGACCGAGTAGTTTTTATAAATATTTTTATCATTTGGCGTGCCTACATCCTCCAAGGCCTTCCACAAACTAGTGTTTATAATAGAATCAAATGCATTTCTAAAATCAAGAGCGATGATAATCAATTGTCTTTTCCGTTTAATAGATCTCTTATTTTGAATTTTTAACGCAAGAATGGCTTCGAGTGTGTTATGCACCTTTCTGAACGATACTAATGAGTCTACGAAATCATGTTCCACTAACGGTCTGAGTCTATTTAAGATAGTGTTGACGAATATCTTATAATCGAATTTAGTGAGATCCCCCTCCAATCTTCGAGATATTTAGGGCACTTTGTTTTAGGGAAATTGGTAAGGATACCCGTAAGCCAATCACTTCAACAAATTCCCTCTTTCCAGACTCTGGTAATGATTGGGAAGAGGATCTCCGCCCATAAAATTGGGTCAGTTTTCAAATACTCGCTGGGGGATTTTATCTGTATTTACTGTTAGAATAGTTGATGGAGATTGTGTGAATGGGGTCGCAAAACTATGTGGGTGTGTTGATTTAGGAGGCCAGAAGTTTCATCAAATTTGTAAATATTAAAAATTATGATTTTCTATTCGTATTTTGATAAATAATTAAAATAATTTTTAATTATGTTAAATATGGTTTCTCTTTATTTTAAATTAGTTTTTTCTTTACTTCCCTTCTTTTGTTTAGACTTATAATACATAATTAAAAATAGATTTTTTTAAGTCACTCTTTTATTTATATTTACATTAAAAATTAACCTTGTCGGGTTTAAAAAAGGGAAAATTTTTGAATCCGATCATTTAAAATTAAGGATTGTGGACACTTTCAGCATACTTTATTTATCAATTTTCTTTTTCAAACTTCAATGAATATTAGTCAAAATATTTTAAATAAAGTGAATAATAAAGTAGGAAATAAAGTTTTGTTTATTTTTATCAACTTTAAAAAATATCATTTTCCCACTCCATCTTGTATAGTCTGCAATTGTTTTAAGATAGTCCGAAGATTTAATCTTGTGCTATATAAGTCTCGGAAATGTATGGGTTTGGTATTGACTCCCATGATAGGGTTATAAGTATTTAAAATGTAAGGATTGGAGTAATGTTCGAGGTGAGGAAATGAATACGTGTTCGAATGCTGATTAGCGTTGTTTACTAAAGAAGCATTGTCGTTGGGATTATCGAACATGAAGTACGGATTATTTTCTAGTTCTTTTTAATTATTTTAAAAAATGATAAAAAAAAGATCAATTATACAGAAGAGCGATTTGAAAAAATATCATTGCCATCTGGTTTATCATCATATCGTTTTTAACTCAACCAATTTTATCGCTGAATTTATGAATTAATGTTATCTTATGCAAATTGGTTACTAATTTTAGTAATGCATCTTCACTTCAACATGTAAATTTGATAGTAGTGATGTAAAATCGCTCCATTTGAGCCAATTTCAAAAAATGGCTAAATCAGTATTTTATCCAGAAAAATATTATGCAAGCCTGAAGATTTTGCTCATAGATGGCACAAAGGTTTGGGCTTGGCGCAATATTTTTCTGGCTAAAATATAGAGCTAGACATATTTAAAAATCGGTTTAAATGGGGTGATTTTACATCACTATTTGATAGCGTCAATTCCTAAATTGAGCGAGAAAGTTTGTGGCTAATTTTAGTAAACTAGAAGGGATGTATGAACTAGATTGCATTTTAAAAAAAAACGTTTAGAATTAATTTTTATGTTTTTTTTAAAAAGTGTGAATGGGGACCCCCTAATGATAGAAATTTTAGTGAGCTGGATTTAGACCAAATTGAGTTAAAACCCTATAAAAATCATCTCGAAGAAATTTTAAAAAGATTAATTCCCTTGTAAGATAATAAGATTAATTTATAATATATAATCTGAGATGCCAACTCAATGATATATGTTTTTTAAAATCAGTTTTAAACTGTATTGTTTAAAATAGGTTGAAATCAATTAAAGTGGCTTCCAATTTCGTTTCAGATAAATTAATCTTTTTTTTAAACCGGCCAATTGTTCTTCGATTTGATCAAGATTTGATTCGAATAAACATTGTTCACAAGCTATTTGATTCAAGGGATTGCTTAAATGGTTGATGCCGGTCAGATCTGTGTTGAGTATGATTGGTTCACGAGGTATAGCTAATTCATTTTTAATGGCATCGGGAAATAAAATATTTGCGGACAGATTTTGTTCATCATATTCAGGCTTTTTTGTAAATATATTGTAAAAAATAAGCAAAATTAAAAGTATTCATACTTTTTTTAAAGCTTAAATTTGATGAAATACTTGCTTTATTAACATATAAGCATAGATTTAGGAGCCTTTAATTGTATGCATGAAAAATACTCAATTTATACAAAAAATAAAAAAAAATATAAGAGTAAAATAATAACTCTACTTTCAAAGTTATTGTATCAGGAAATTTTTCGTTTGCTATTTTTTCATTTGAGAACATATCTTCGACTGTATCGTGAACGCTATTCTTTGAGACATCCATTCTAAATGGTGTCTTTTCAACTTGGTTAGTATTTTCGTCGTTATTTTCAATCATTTCGATATTCGTTTCGGTGTTGATGACTAAAGATTCGGTACTTGTCAAATCACTATAGACACCGTTTAGGGTTTTATCATTAACAGGCAAATTATTATCACATTTGAAATCATAGTTGTCAGTATTTGATTTATCAATGTTATAAGGAATTATTTCGGGGGTATTTTCAAGATTTTTAATAAATTTATCAGATTTCTCAATTTTATTAACACCATCTTTTGGTAAAATAGATTGCTGGGCTTCGTAATCAATAAAAGATAAGGTTTTGTCGCTTGAAGCAGGCATTGTGAAAGGAGATAAAATGGGGTTACATCTAAATTCATAGGCAAGAATAATATGTAATCAAGTATAAAATGTTCACATATCCCTTAAAAAAATTAATACAAACTAGAGGTGGGCGCGGGTCGTGAAATTATGCGTGTGAATGTAAATAAAATTTAAATTATTAGGCGTGACTGGGTGTGACGTGCCTTGCCAAAATATCTGCCTGGCGTGATTGGGCGTGAAAATAAATTTCCTGCGAATCACGGAAATAATTTTTAAAATTGTTATTTTATGAATATAAATTTGCAATTTTATAATTTAATTTAGTTCTTTTAAAAATGAATAATTTTTGGAAAAAAAACTTCTGCATTTTATAAACAATAATTTTTTCCGTCTTATATGAATGAAAAATAATAAATCTTTCAACTCTCAACTCTCGTTCAGCAATGGAAATTTGGTAATAAATAAATTTAGATCGAATGCACTTTATTTTCATTTATCTTTACTAAAAATTTTATCAATATTCAAATGCTAGGATATTCTGAGCGCAGATTCTTGTTACACAATAAATGAGTTTAAAACAAAAATTAGTAAAATTTTGCCAACCTTCTGAAGGTGATACAATAATAATCAAAAACCCTTAAAAAACAGGACATTTTTTAAAGGCAATATTTAATACGCAGCAACAACATAAGGTAGGCTTAATTATAAATCCGAATTTCAAAAGTCTTAATTTTTTAATAGAAGAAGAAAAGGAAGATATATAAAACAATTTTAAAAATGTGAAATGATATAAAATTAAATGATATGCATAAGTCAATGCTAACTATCATTTATAGCCTTTCTAGTTCATCCTGTATACGTAAAAAAACCGTCTTAAAAGATTATTGTCTCATAAAACAAATATCAATGACAATATTTTGAAATTTTGGAAGCAGGAAGCTTTCCTTTTTTGAGAAAATTAGTTAGTAAAATTGTCGCCTGTCAGGGCGGGCTAGTCAAGTGGCATTTAGAGGTTATTTTCTATAGTCAATTGCTTAATAGAGAAAAGGCGAACACAGTTAAAATAAAAAAAACATGGACATTATTCTTTTTCTAAATAAAAATTTTGAATTATAAATTGTAATTATTTTGAATTATAAATTGTAATTATTTTGTGTTATTAATATGGAATAAGAGAAATAAAAACTTTGATAGATTAAATTCAAAAAAGTGTAAATGTATAGCAATAAAGTTTTGAAAAATTTAGAAACACCGTGAATTTTTGGGCGTGATCAAAATATTGTCTTTCGTGAGCGGGCGGATAAGGGCCAAAATTTTTTAGTAGTAAGCATGAAAGGGCGTGAATTTTTTTTATTGCCACCATGAGTGGGCGGGTCATGATCGTGAATAAAAAATTAGGCCGGGGCCCACTTCTATTATAGACTCATTTTTTAAATAACCTATTTTATAAACAAAGCTTGAAAAATATCTTGGAAGATTGCTTGAAAATTTTTGTCCAAAAAATCTTGAGTCATAAAATTTAAGATTTTATTAAAAACTAAAATTATGTTTTAATGGTGGTTCAGATTTTTATGCAAAAAATCACAAGGATTCACTTGCATATAATTTTTACAAAAAAAATTGTATTTGGTAAAATTGGATCAAAAAAACTTTGAGCATTCACAGAAAAATTTTAAATTAAAATCATAGAAGATGTTTTATTTTGAAGAGCATCGAACTCTATTTAAAAGTATTGAATTTGATTATATAAAATTAGACTTGTTATCATCATTATTCTGATATTTATCGCTTGCTATCAATCGAATCCGGGAGCCTCGAATAGCGCATTCCATTTGTAGTGTCCGCCTTTCCAGACTGACGCAACGCGAGTATATCGCCTCATAATTTAAAGCAGCATCGATGACATCATCAGAAGAACCGGTTCCTGGTAAAAGTCTAGCCAAATGGCCTTCATCGCAAGTCCATTGGGAGTGCAAGTAATCACGAAGACGGGATTCATTGCAATCTTATATGAAATTTAATTTAGCAGAAAGGTAATTCATCACAACAGAGAAGATATGTTAAATTATTCTGATTATTAGCCAATAAAGAGCTAATATAAAATAAAAATTATTGATCTCGATTAGGTTTTCAGTCCAGTAAATACGAGAATTCTAATTCCATATTTGAATTTTATACTCTGCTTTAAATAGTCAGCTCCAAAAATGAGTTTTAAGATAAAAAGGGGCAGGTTTATGACTATTTTAATTGTATACATAGAGGGAAGAAAGGAAATGAACAGCTGATAGTTATAACCCATATTTCCCGAAAGAAAAGGGGAGAGACTAAACTCGAGAAGTTGTAAATCAAATTATAATTCTGGAGGAACCAGAAACCAAATTTCAAAGAGCTGGAAAACTAATTAATAAACGGGAATACTTATTATTAAACAGAAAGGTTATAAGCAAGTTTAGTATATATAAAAAACAATACTTGGTGGATTTAGGCAGTAGAAGCAAATGTATTTTTCGGGAATTTTATCTTCTGTTTCAAGCCCCAAGCAAACGAAATGTTGCCAGCAATAGCAGATATCGCACTTTGATATTAAAATCATTTTTTTAAAAAAGAAGGTAATAATGTAATTACTCTCTTTCTTGCCAATATAAATGAGATATAGATTGATTAACAAAACTAATAATTCTATTTAGATTTTTTCTTTAAACATTACCAGCCATTACTATTCAACGTCATTAATGCTCGGCCACTCATATTTTATCTCATGCGGAAATTTTCAAAATAGAAAATATGTATTTATATATATAACTTCAAAATTTAATAAATTTTGATAATCTGGAGTAATAAGTTGACATTTTGAATATGTGTAACGCTTAAAAAATGCTTGACTACCAAAACTGCCTGCGTCAAACTGCCATTTTCAATTTTTTCATGTTTTTGTAAATTATATGATAGTCTACCTTTTTACTTAAGCCATATTCTTAAACATAACTATGAAATATCGTCTGTTTTTCAAAAGGTTAAAAAAAATTTAAAAAAATAAAAATCGTCTTTACTATAGAAGAAATTTAGACATTTGGGCATATCAATAAACAGGAATAAATTATTTCTAAAAATATTTTTAATTTTAGGTAAGACAATGTTATTAGGAATAATTGCAAAAAAACATTCCTCATGTCATTTCTAAAATATTCCATTTTAGATAAAAAAAAATTATTTTATTACATTTTATATAATATTTAATGTATATATAATTAAACAACTAGGAAGGAATTTAGTACCCCACCCCCATATTATTTTTATCTGGATAGGTTTAAAAGGTTTTAGCGGCTTACTTGGAAAAAAAAATCTGGCGAGATTATGCAAGTATGCGCCAAGCAAGATTCACGTAGTTCTTAAAGGACAGGTGGTAGACAAACGTGCAAATGAATGAATGAAATATAACTACTTTATTTTTTATTACAATAGATACAGGAAAAGCTACATCTGATAAAATTCAACCCCTCATATTGCTCAGCATCATCTGAAAAGATTATCTGGAAGAAAAATTTGGTAAAATTAGTCGTTGTTTTTCATCCACGTTGTCTTCAAAAAAACAAAAATTTTCACAAAAGGTACAGGAGATGGGACCTTAAATGCCATGAAATATAAATCTCTGACAGTTGTGTTTCAGGGGGGATACTCATGTCACATCTATATTGACCAATTATAACAACATTTACTTTTCCTGACAAAACCCTAATGAAAACATATGGGGTATAATTAATGAAACCAAGAGTTCAATGTCCGAGAATCTAAGATTCTTACATGAAAAAAAATATGCTTGGTATTCCATATTTATCAACTAACGTTAAAACCTAATTCCATGCCAAAAAGAATATCTGTTCATTGGTAAATCTAAATGCGAAGCAATTCAATTTTTTTAAAAAATGGTCAATTATTAAGAATTTTTTAGCGTCATAATAATTTAATATCAATTACGGTTAGCAACCTTATTTTATATAATTTTCTGATAATTATTATCAATATTTAATTAATTTTTTTTATTAATTATATTATTAATAATATGCTCATATTCAAAAAATATATAAAAATTGAAGAAAATAGAATTGTTTAATATAGATTTTATTTTAAATTTTAAGTTAGTAAAAAAAATTAAGGTGGCCGAACAATAATCGTTAACCATTACAACAAAATATTTTAGCCATCAATATGATGAGTTATGCATAGGTCTATGGTGTTATGTTACGACTATAAATTATTATTTAATAAGAGTATATTTTAGTGCATTATATCAATATTTATATAAGCAAAATAATATATACTTGTAGCATGAGGCCATTCTCCTGAACGGACCCACAAGTGCAATGTATGATTTCCATATCTTCTACATTAATACTTATAGAAGGTTCAGCAGTTTCAAGTTGTATGGTCTTTTTTTTAGGAGAAAATTCAATACCTTTATCTCTATAATTCTTTTTCCCTCTCAATTTCGTCACCTTCTTTTCTACAATGTCATTCGTAACAATTTTTTCTGGCATCATTTTGATGCTTTCTTTGCCTTGGCTAACGTTAAAGATGGACTCGAATTCTTCGTCAATTATTCTAGGCAAGGCAATGGGAGAGCCTATTGTTTTTGGATCATTTTCTTCATGAATTTCTTGCATTTGAAAAGCTGGTGAGAGTATGGGGCTGGATTGGATCCCAGCTTCTGGTTCTAAGATATTAGTAAGATTGATATTGATCATTATAAAAACGGCTACACATTTTAAATAATAATTTGGCAATAAAATATTTTCATTTGCACGATATAAAAAAATATAAAAGGGTAGACTAAAAATTCTGTATATAAATGAATATAACAGTAAAAAAATATTTATAATTATAAAAAGAAGAAAAAAATCATTCATTGTAAATAAATAAATACAATTCAAAATAACAAACACTATGAACCTATGATAGTATCGGTTCCTTTCTCTTGATCATCCAGATCGATAGAGGTTTCATGAATGATTTTTTGTGAATTCGAAGAATCTTTCTTTTTAGGCATAAAAAATGCGCTAGTATTAAAAGTGAGTTTGGCCTTTTTGATTCTATTTGCAGCAATTCGTTTTTTGGGTTTAGCAAAATCAGGGTCATTATTGGTAGATTGTTTAAATATTGTGTCCTCTTTTTTATCTTTAATAATTTCTTGATGTAAACATTTAAAAATCTAACAATAGTTCTATCTGCCATAATTGTGTTTAAATTTAAGAAAAATTTTGGCATTAAATAGATTATAATTCTAAAATAAGATAAGATCTTATTAATTATGAACCAAATTTATTTCATATTTATCTTATCATAAATAATTATATATATGTACCACCAAATCTGGCTACTATATGTCCCTTTTGTTAGGTAATTAAAACAAAATGTCACAAGTGTGTAATATCTATCATAATCATAATGGAAACAAATTAAACATGCATCTATTAATCCTCATCCTTTTAATTTTACATTCACACTAAAATAACCATAATAAAGTTGAAACTTAATAGCAATTAATGTACAGGTAACAAAATTAGTTTTCTAAATCATTATGGATAAATAAAAATTGAAGAAATATAATTTAATAATATTACTCTCACAGCATGTATAACAAATATCAACAATGGAGTTTTAGACACACTTTATTTTAATATTGTTTTTATGGGATTTCCCATCCTAAAAAGGAAAAAAGTCAGTTAAAAAAAAGAAGGTTAGATCAAAAAGGAAGTCTCATCAAACACGGAAAAAGCAAAAAAAAAGTAAAGGATCCGATCAAAAAAAAGAAAGGTATCAACAAAAGGAAAAGTGTCAATTAAAAAATGAAAAATCCAATCAAAAAAAAGGAAAGGTACCACAAAGACCGAACAAAAGGTAACGAGGAAAAGTTCAATCAAAAAAGGAAAATCGTTATTTTTTGTATATTTTAACAAATAATTTTATTTATTATCAATTAAGTTTAATAATTTTGAAATATGATTTTTCTTAAATTTTTAGTTATTTTTCATTTTCTTTCTTATTTTTTTTTCTTTTCCTCATTTTTAATTATTTTTTTTGTCTTTTTAATAATAATTTCTTTATTTTTCTTGTCATTTTTCTACAATTCTATATTTTTTTGTCATTCTTAATCAATATTTTTCCTCTTTTTCATCTTAAATAATAATTTTTTTTAACTCTTTATGATTTTTTTCTCCTTATTTGAATTTCACTAATATTTCTCTTTGGCAATCAAACTTTTTTATTAATACTTGTATATCGATTATTTCATTACAATTGCGATGTATAGTACAAAACAAAATATTATATTAATCATTAATAATTTTCCTTCTACATTTTGGAACATAGGTCTCCATATTTCTAAAATAGTTTTGTGCATTCTTCTCAATTATTCCCCTCTCTTCATGCTCTGTAATACCAATAAATTCCTCCTCATTATTATAACTTTGAATTCTGACTAAATCCTTCTATTGAGAAAACATATTTTCAATAGGATTATGGGAAATGGCGGCAAATATTTTATTGCATGCCCTCGCCTTTCTATCGATTTTCTAATTGTATGTATGGTTATGATTAAATTGAATATTGCAAAAATCATCATATTGCTTTCTTCAAAATGATTTAATATATAATTTACAAAATTTTCAAAGTGTATAGTGTTACAGGGGCCATCAAGAACCTCGAATCAGAATATTCCCGCAATCGTGAAAGCAACTAGTATAATTCATTGTAGTTAGACATTTTTAATAATCTTTTTTTATTGTGCATATCCATATAACCGTCTCATTGATATTGGAAACCCGTTCTCATCGATAAAAATAAATTTTTCTCTCATATAGGCACCATTCATAAACTAATTCGTGCATTTTTTGCAAATCTCGTTATTATTTAATATTTTCTCTAACTGAAAGTAGTGACCCTATACCTAAATCCAGATAGTAACCTTGATGCTGTACTTTTTGATATTTCTACATCATACCTCTCTTTAATCATTTCACATAACTTTTTTAAGGATATGGTGGAATCCAAATTTATACAATTTAATGTATATTCTTCCTGTTCTTGGTTTAGTTTCTTGCGTGCACGTGAGCCTCCTTTGGGTAAACTATATTTTATTCCATTTTTGAGATAGGAGTATTTTATATTTGTTACAGTTTTATAACTTACTTTAAAACATGATGCTATATTTTTGATACTATCCTTTTTTAACGCGTCAATTATTAGAGCTTTTGTTGCACTATCAATGTTTTTTTTCCTTGTTACTACCATATCTTCATGATTTTATTTTTTAAAACAAAGAAAATTTCTTTTTAAAAGATATACTAATCAAATAGAATGAATGACAAATATTTTTAAATGATAAGATTTACCTCATTCATTTATAAATCAAATTAGGTTATTCCATATCCATTTTTTTGTCAGTAATGACTTTTTTATATAAATCAATTATAATTATACTATTGTATTTACATAAAAAATTAGAAATATTTATAAAATAGGTAAATTTATAGGCAATATAAGATTAATCATCCTATTGAAAAACAATAGAAACGTAATTTTAAAAATTGTACTCCCGTAAAATTACAAAAAAAGGATAGGGAATAATTTAATTCTCAGGCAACAATATATAAAAAAAACATACTTGCTAAAAATTATTAGTATTAAATACTTGCATAAATATTAATTTTCAAAAATAAGAATATATGATTTTATTTTGAAAATTTACTTATAATTAGGTATTATAGTTCAAATATATTTAATTTAAAAAGGTACATCATTGCCAAACGATTAATTTAATTCAGCAATTGTAATGAAATAATTTGATATGAAAAAATATTAATAAAAAATATTTGATTTTGCCTTGATTAACACTACATTTTTTGATTGGACCTTTTCCTTTTTTAATCGGACTTTTTCCTTTTTTGATTCACATTTTCCTTCTCTTGATTGGGACTTTTTCTTTTTTGGATGGGAAACCCTGTATCTAGTCGACTCAAAAGATGAACAATTATATGTTATTTTATTTAATATAATAAATTGAATCGTAATTTTAAAATGAATTTATTGTATAAACCACTATTTGAAAAAACATGTTATATTATACATAGATCTATGCCACTAGATAAAAATCGACGATGGTGGCTACTGTTTCATCGGCGGTTTTCGGTGCGCCGAATTGGCTGCGTGGGTGTATTTTAAAATTTTAATAGATGAAAATTAATAATTATATGCATTTTTATTGAATTTATTTGGGCTCTTAGTTTCATAATTGTTATTAGAACTGAAATCTTTTAGGTGTCCAACCCCATACAAATTTTCTCATTTTTATTCATTCTCCTAAATATATTTATAAAATATTTTAAAAATTTACCTTTCTACTAAGTCACATACAACAATAATATTTTATCGATTTATTATAATATTATACAGATTTTATATAAACACTATTTTATAATAGTAAGATATAAATTTTAAAAAAAATACTTAGGTAATAAATATAAATAAATTAAAAATCAAATTTAGCTCAATAATGGATGAATAAATATAGGACATAAAGATGTTCTTTTGTCAATAAGTATTGATTTCAATAGAAAAGATTCTTCCGCTAGGTGTACTTGTTGCAGGTACTTAAGAACTTCTCTAAAATGGCTAGTTTCTGGTTTTTCGGTTGCTTTTTTCTAAAAGGATAGTGTCTTGCTTAAACATGTAAGGTTGACCAAGTAAAATATAACATTCCTGTTTCAAATTGCTAGTGATATTCGAATTTTTATCTAAGATTGTGAACTTTATACAATATCTAAGCTTGATGTTCGAATCTTATCTACAATATGGATCTCTTTTCCCGCATTTCGAGATCGTTTTAATATGTTGTAGAAGCTAAATTGAAATGCTGTTTTATAAAATTAAAATAATTTATGTTTATCAGATTCTTCGTCATTTTTTTCGCCAATTTTAAGAGGTCAACAAAAAAATACAATCATGAATTATGATGCTTTTCATATTTTCCTTTTTTTCAAAGTTAATTTACAGAAGTATCTCCAACATGAGTGCTTTCATAAAAATCAAAGAGAGTTGTAATTTTATAAGTTATAAACAGGGTGGTTTCATTAGTTTATTATAGCAAAGTAGAATAATTTCATTTTATAAATTTAATATTCAAATGTACAAATAATATTTTATAAAGAATGATGTAATTAATAAACTATTTAAATGTATAAATATGATATATTAATTAAATATTATTTTAAAATCTCAGCCCCACTGCCATATTAAAAATCGGTGTCGAATCTATCAGCAAGGATCGGCTCAATCGTGGCTTTTTGGTGTTAGGAAAATTATCGGCGGGGGCGCGAATCAATAGCATATAGATCTAATAATGCTTAAAATTAAATTTATTATTATTATTAGTAAACCCATGTTAGAACTTTCGGTATCCTTAGGAATACTTTGCCTTGGCGACATGCATTGCTTATCGTAACTGACAGTATTTGTAATACCATGGGCACTATAACTTGCTACAGTAGAATTAACTGATAAAAGTCTAGAAAATTTGTGCTTTCTGCGTTCCCTCATTCGCCTCAAAAGTTTAATTTCGGGGTCTAGCTCTTGCTCACCTTCATATGAAGATGCGCTAGAGGAGAGATAAGATATTCTATCATCGTCTGTCTCCATTTTTAAATTATCGACCCTGTTTCCGGTTTTATAGTTGATATGATCGAGTCTGTCTAGCAGTGTCGCGTCTGATTTTGCTTTAGAATAAAGGGATTAAGGTTATAGGGAAAAATAAAAATTTGACAAAAAATCGGATAATTTTATAAAAATTATTTGGGTATCATGGGTGCCAAATGACCATTTCTACATTAAATAAGTTATTCTCAGTGTGATCACTAGCATTATATAACTGAAAGGGGATCAGTTTTAAAAAAAATTAAAATATCTGATTTTAAAAAAGGCTAACATAAATATCATCTCTAAAAAATAAAGTAGGAAAAATAAAATCAAACAATTTTCAAATTTTTTAGAGGGTATTAAAAGTTTCATGGGGCCACCATTACTAACGACACCCCGGTATGTTATAAATAAACTATTTTAAACCGAAGTTTATCAAGATAAAAAGTAATGATTACAAACAAATTATAATTTGGAAAAACTTGTTTTGATTCCATGAAAGTGTAGCAGATGAGATTCTAACAAATACGAATTCCGAAATTCCTTAGTACACCCTTTCTGATCACAGGAATATTTGATTGTCGCTTTCGAAGTGTCAAAATAATCTGCCATATGTGTCGAGTACCTCTTTCTATAGCATCTATTTTGCTTGTTATATTTTTTGGGCATTGATGTGTCTAGAATTAAATAACGATATATTATTATTGATTTAATTAATAATTGTATCATTATTTTTATTATACAACATATTGTCACAATCAGAGGTTGGTGCAGCCCAGCTTGCAGGCCGGGCAAATGATTTTCGCACCAGGTGGGATAAATTGTGGAAGATAATTTTACGGTTTGGGCTAAGATTTTGAAAATGTTTTTAAAGCTTGGGAAAATTTATGCCGTTTTTCTTAACAAATTATTATATGTCGGGCCGAACAACTTGTACAAATATTATTTACAGGTCAGTCAAAAATATTTACAGGCTCTGCCCAGTTTAAAAAAACTAGTGCTGTAAACATTTCTAAAAAAACATTCATTGGCAAAATTCGAAAGCGCTCACGTTCAACTTCAAAAAAAACTCGTTCACGTTCATTCAAAACTTTGTGAATAAATTTTTTTTAAATTTCATATAATATAAATAAATACCTTATATTTTTAAATGAAAATTAATAGTTTCAGGTGAATAAAAAATTTTTATCTTATAAAAAAAAATTCTCATTAATTTTTAATATATAATTAAATATCATATAAAATTTAATTTTTAAAATATAAAACTCTTGATAAAAAACTTAAAAATAATAACGAAATTTCAGATAATCACACTCAAAATAAATAAATTCTAAAAGATATTAACTATTTTAATGTATATAATATATAATGATTTTTACTTTATGTATCTATAATAATAATCATAATAATAATAAGCCTATAAAATACAAGAATCTAAAATAAATTATTAACAGGATACTTATAGTTATATTATATAAAATAATAAATATCTTTTTAAATTAGAACTTGAAGATTTTAAAACTAATATACATTTTGGACATATTTTACATTTGGTAAGGATAGAATTAGTTATTGAATATCTGATGTTACTAATATTTATTATATTTGGGATATGATAATGTTAATTCAACTGATTCTGAATTTAGTAATAACATTCATGCTTATGCTAATCTGTAAAATATAAATAATAATATTCAAATTAAGAAACTATGCTATATAACAGAAATAGTTGCTGGTTAAAAAAACAAATGTGATAAATAAAACAGCTGATTAAAAAATAACCCTTTTTTAAAAAAAAAATTAGATTAATATTAATTATTTTTTTCAAAATAATGAGAAGATCATTTAAAAATGAACGAACGTAAAAAACGAACGCGCTCGTCAAAAAAAACGCGTTAACGTTAAAAATAAAAAGAACGTCGTTCATTATTTTTTTAAAAAAAACGAACTTCGTACAACATTAAAAGCTAATAATTCTTTTTATAGAATTTAGAGATTTTAACTATTTCCAGATTTTGTGGTATAAATTTTATTTTTTAATTTAATAGCTTATTAACAGGAATCCGAAATAAAACAAATAAAAGTTCGGGTTCAGGTAAAAATAACTGTTCAGGGTTCAGGTTTGTCCCTTAAAAAAATATTAATATCGGTTCAATTCGAACCTCTAAAAACAGGTTTGAACTATTTTGCAATATGTGAGCGACAATGCGTTTTTTCCGACAATGTGTAATTTTCAACATTTTTTTAAGCCCGTTTTTTTAAATTTAAAAATCCGATTTTATCGGAAATGTATTGCATCATGTTTGGAATATCTACCCTAAGAATTTCAGGCAATTTAGCTATAAACCTTTGAACTTAATATAATTTATATTCATTTTTTCATAATTTTTTTATATAAATTATAAACGACTCAAAAGTAAACGGTAAAATTGTCTACATTTCATAAGATAGGTTTCTTAGCAAGCTGGAATATATTTCCGGTAAACAGATTTTTAAATTTAAAAAAACGCGCTCAAAATATGATTTAAAATTGAAAAAATAACACATTGCCGGAAAAAACACTTTGATGTTAACATATACAAAGCTAATTATATATGAAGTATGTTTTTTTATATTTCATCATTAAAAACACATATAAAAAATTTATTTCATTATTATTGTACAATATAAAAAATATGTAATCTATAAATTATAACAAATAAAACAACCTTTATAAACTGTAATGAACATTATGTGCTTAAAAAAATAGTGTTGAGCCATAACAATTAAAATGTTCTAGATTCTCATCAGTCAATTAGATTAATATAGAGAAAGTATAAATATTTATTGTTAAAAAACATCTTGTAAACTAACTTGTGTAGCCGACACTGTATAACATAAGGCTAATTATAAAAATCAGAGTACCGATTACTCTGATTTTGCTAATAGTCTAAAATTTAGTAATTAACTAAAATATTTTAATTTTTCCTAATCGTTTTAATAGATTTTGTTTATGTCATTCTTTTTTTAAAAAAGAAAACTATCGAAATCACCTTCAGGTGAAAATGAATTCATTTATGCTGATTCATTTTCACTAGAATTTTCAGTCTTATAAAAATTTAATTTAAAGTTATACCACATTTTAATCACAATCTTCAATATTACATTTAGACTACAGGTAAATAATTTAAATATTAGACTTAATTTATCTCCTAGGCATTAACAAGCGTTTTTTTAAATTTAAATATAAGAAGTTAAATTATATTAATCTTTAAAACAATTCGGATATAAATTTGAATTTTAGGAAAAAACTAGTAATTTTAACATGATTTTATGAGGTTTAACCATGTTAAAAGCATTGTTCAGGTTCGGATAGAAAATCAACAGCTCAAATTCAATAAATAATACGTTTAATGAATTATTTTTTAGAATATGAATTAAATTAATTTCCCTCATTTATGATGAATGCATTATTATAATGTATTGTTTGGAATGAGTATGAGTTTGTTGATAGAATATCTAACCCCTTTAAATTATATTTAAAAATATATTATATAATATTTAAAAAATAATGACTATGATTGAATGCAATTTATAGATTTGATCGATGCAAAGCAATATGTGTATAATATAATAGGTCTATAATAAAAGTATTAAATAAATTTTTACAGCAATATGTTTTGCCTATTTTATCTAAAAATTTAATTGATAACACCCCAATAAATTTACCACACCCCTCTTAAAAAATTGGAAGCAAACTGAAACTAACCCCACCCCCTTGGCACATGTAGACGCTGTCAGCAGAATAAATTGAAAATATCGTTGTTCATACGTCTTAGATATCTATAAGAAGGTTTTACCCCTTGATTATATATATGTTATATAAATAATTATAGCTTGATTTTTCTAGCTATATACTTCCAATAACTTTTATAATATGGATAAAACTTTAATGAACGTTTTTGCAAATTTTTTTTAAATTATTAAGAAAAATATATTTTGCTAAAAGAAAAAATACTAGAAGTTAATTTTTTATAATCAGTGGATAGAAAACTGTTTTCTGGCAAAATATATACTAAGAATCTTTTTAAATAGAATATCTAGATTTGATTTAAGTATCTTATTAAAAATCTTAAAAAGATACAAAGCATAAGATGCTAAAGGATTATGTATTAAAGATACAAGTATATGGGGTACTTTTCAAATATGATATAATATATTTATTGGCTAAAATAATATAAAAATATAATATATATTTAAAAAACTGCCTGTGTTTTTAAGTGATTGTTGTGGAATCTGTTGTGATTGCATGGCAGCAGTCTTATATATAATTTTAAAATAATGATCTTTTACAATCGATAAATGCATTAGAGGCCAAATATTCAAAAAAATTAATAGTGAGAGAACTTAAACCCAATAAACATTGCAAATTATAAAATTTCTGAGAACTATCAAAATCCTAAACCGCAGGAGATCGCTATGAAAGTAAAAAGAAGGTATTCATTTTTAGAAAGCATAATTTACACTACTAAACATATATTAAAAAAAATTATATTAATCAACACTTACTGAAGGTTTTATTCTAAAGCATGATGAACTGCTTGCAGGTAAATATTCGGATTGAGCGGCCTTTCCTGTTTAAAAGATGAAAAAATTATGGTTTATTAAATAATAAACAATTTAAAAAAATAATGAATAAAATGTAAACAAATTTAATAAATTTATTAAGTTTTGACTTTTAAAAATATTCAATTTTTGAAAATAATAATATAATAAATATTTGCCTATATAGAAATTTAAAAGTAAATCAAAAATTTTGGAGTCCATATCACGAGAATGTTTATTATTCTCCGAAGCTTGCTAATAAATATAATAAAAGACCTTTAGAGGGCCAATTTTTGAGCTCTGCCCAGCTTAAATTTTCTTAAACCCCTACCCGGTTTTTTTTATTTTTAAGCCTAGCCTGGGTCTTTTAAAATTTGACCATTTTAAGCCCTCGCCCCAATTTTCAAAATTTAGACTTTAAATAATCTTGGCTTCATTTTGAAATTCACTTCAAATCAAGCTGAATGATAAAAAATCCATTATATAATTTTCATTTAAATCTAGCCAGGGTTCTCAAAACATATTATTTATAACTCAAGGACCGAGCTGCAGGTCCCTAATATCTAATAAATAATTTTGAATTCAAGTAAATTTAAAAAAATATATTATTTAATTTATTTTAAAAAACCTATTAAATAATTATGATCATAGAAATGTAATCCTGGTACAGCCACATCAATGTCTGAATCATAGGCTCTGACCGAATATATTCCTTCCAAGTTCATAATATTATCGTTCCCATTATTGGTATCATAAATGGATAGATCTTTGATTATATCTTGAATAACCGAATTACGTTCCATTGGAAGATTTAAATTATGGGAGTCTGGAAGATTGATAGGAAATGACGACATTTTCGCCTATGCAAAAATGTGTAAAAAAAATGTTAAATTTCGAAATATTTTTTCTAAATTACTTGCAATATTTATGGCTAGTGTTGCGTAATCGGCTAATTTTAGCCGACTAAAAACGGCTTAGCCGAGATTTTAGGTGGAAAAATCGGCTAAGCCTAATTAGGTATAGCCTAAAAATCGGCTAAGCCTAATTAGGCTAAGCCTAAAAATCGGCTAAATCTAATTAGGCTAAGCCTAAAAATCGGCTAATTAGCTAAGCCTAAAAATCGGCTAAACCTAATTAGGCTAAGCCTAAAAATCGGCTAAGCCTAAAAATTGGCTAAGCCTAAAAATCGGCTAAGCCTAAAAATCGGCTAAGCCTAAAAATGGGCTAAGCCTAAAAATTGGCTAAAATAAATTAGTCAAAATTCTGCATCGATGCTTAGCATTAATTATTATTTATTTATTTTAGTAAAATAATTTATTTTATTTATATTTAATGTAAATATTTTATTATTATCAACAAATAAACATGATATGATTTAATATTTTTTATTTATATTATTATATTTTGAAATGAAAATAAATTTATTTATTTGATGTTTTTTTAATAAAAAAAATAATATGCTACTATATTGTTTAAATGTAATATTCTTTATAATATAATTTATTAGTGATTTTCACAATCTTCTTTGTAAATACATCTTTTATTGAGGAATTATATTGTAAATTTTATTAGATAAATAAACAATCTTTTAGGTGAAATCTTTTATCATTTTTTTAAAATTATCTATTTATTATTAAATAAGGTGGATTTTATGAAACTTTTTTGATGTTATTTTATATGATCTTTTTAAGGATAATATTTTAATGTGACAATTGTCATAATCGTTCTTTTATAAGTTTTTTGAATTTTTTTGAAGGAAGTATGTTAAAATAAGTATTAATAACATGTGTAAATACAAATTTAGTGAAGATGTACCAATGAAAAGTGACAATTGTCATAATCGTTATTTTTAAAGTTTTTCGAATTTTTTTGACGAAAATATGTTAAAATAAGAATTAATAACATGTGTAAATATAAATTTAGTGAAGATGTACCAATGAAAAGTGACAATTGTCATAATGGTTAATTTTAAAGTTTTTTGAATTTTTTTGACGAAAATTTGTTAAAATAAGTATTAATAACATGTGTAAATATAAATTTAGTGAAGATGTACTATAGAAAAGTGACAATTGTCATAATCGTTATTTTTAAAGTTTTTTGAATTTTTTTGACGAAAATATGTTAAAATAAGTATTAATAACATGTGTAAATATAAATTTAGTGAAGATGTACCAATGAAAAGTGACAATTGTCATAATCGCTATTTTTAAAGTTTTTTGAATTTTTTTGACGAAAATATGTTAAAATAAGTATTAATAACATGTGTAAATATAAATTTAGTGAAGATGTACCATAGAAAAGTGACAATTGTCATAATCGTTATTTTTAAAGTTTTTTGAATTTTTTTGAGGAAAATATGTTAAAATAAGTATTAATAACATGTGTAAATATAAATTTAGTGAAGATGTACCATAGAAAACTGACAATTGTCATAATCGCTATTTTTAATTTTTAAATTTTTTTGACGAAAATATGTTAAAATAAGTATTAATAACATGTGTAAATATAGATTTAGTGAAGATGTACCAATGAAAAGTGACATTTGTCATAATCGTTAATTTTAAAGTTTTTTGAATTTTTTTGAAGAAAATATGTTAAAATAAGTATTAATAACATGTGTAAATATAAATTTAGTGAAGAAGTACCAATGAAAAGTGACATTTGTCATAATAGTTATTTTTAAAGTTTTTTGAATTTTTTTGAAGAAAATATGTTAAAATAAATATTAAAAACATGTTTAAATTAAAATTTAGTGAAGATGTGCCATAGAAAAGTGACAATTGTCATAATCGTTATTTTTAATTTTTTGACGAAAATATGTTAAAATAAGTGTTAATAACATGTGTAAATATAAATTTAGTGAAGATGTACCAATGAAAAGTGACAATTGTCATAATCGTTATTTTTAAAGTTTTTGAATTTTATTGACAAAGATATTTTAAAATAAGTATTGATAACATGTTTAAATAAAAATTTAGTGAAGTTGTACTCTAGATAAGCGACAATTGTCTTAATCGTAATTTTTAAAGTTTTTTGATTTTTTTTGACGAAAATAGTTAACTTGCATCGATATTGATTTTAAAATAGAAAAAAAAGTTTACCCAAATTTTAAACAAGATTGTCTGGTGAAAATTGGTAAAAAAATAATAATTTCTAACTTAGGATTAGATATTATGATATAAATTTTGCATATTAATTTCTGACCCGATGAACAAATGTAATAAAATGCCAATTTGCTCCTGTTTTTGGGAAAGAATCTATTATTACCATATGTTTTTCTCTGGCATATACTCAGGCAATTTTAATTTTACAATCTATATTTTTACCCATTTACATCAAAGAAATTTTAAAAATAACGATTATGACAATTGTCACTTTTCTATAGTACATCTTCACTAAATTTTTATTTAAACATGTTATTATTACTCATTTTAACATATTTTCGTCAACAAAAATCAAAAAACTTGAAAAATAATGATTATGACAATTGTCGCTTATCTAGAGTACATCTTCATTAAATTTTTATTTAAACATGTTATATATACATATTTTAAAATATTTTCGTCAAAAAAATTCAAAAAACTTTAAGAATAACGATTATGACAATTGTCACTTTTCATTGGTACATCTTCACTAAATTTATATTTACACATGTTATTAATACTTATTTTAACATATTTTCGTCAAAAAAATTTAAAAAATAACGAATATGACAATTGTCACTTTTCATTGTCTTCACTAAATTTATATTTACACATGTTATTAATACTTATTTTAACATATTTTCGTCAAAAAAATTCAAAAAACTTTAAAATTAACCATTATGACAATTGTCAATTTTCTATGGTACATCTTCACTAAATTTTATTTAAACATGTTATCAATACTTATTTTAACATATTTTCTTCAAAAAAATTCAAAAAACTTATAAAATAACGATTATGACAATTGTCACTTTTCTATGGTACATCTTCACTAAGTTTTTATTTAAACATGTTTTTACTACTTATTTTAACATATTTTCTTCAAAAACATTCAAAAAACTTTAAAAATAACGATTATGACAAATGTCACTTTTCATTGGTACATCTTCACTAAATTTATATTTACACATGTTATTAATACTTATTTTAACCTATTTTCTTCAAAAAAATTCAAAAAACTTATAAAATAACGATTATGACAAATGTCACTTTTCATTGGTACATCTTCACTAAATTTATATTTACACATGTTATTAATACTTATTTTAACATATTTTCTTCAAAAAAATTCAAAAAACGTATAAAATAACGATTATGACAATTGTCACTTTTCTTTGGTACATCTTCACTAAATTTATATTTACACATGTTATTAATACTTATTTTAACCTATTTTCTTCAAAAAAATTCAAAAAACTTATAAAATAACGATTATGACAATTGTCACATTAAAATATTATCCTTAAAAAGATCATATAAAATCATCAAAAAAGTTTCATAAAATCCACCTCATTTAATAAAAAAGATAATTTTAAAAAAATTATAAAAGATTTCACCTAAAAGATTGTTTATTTATCTAATAAAATTTACAATATAATTCCTCAATAAAAGATGTATTTATAAAGAAGATTGTGAAAATCACTAATAAATTATATTAAAAAGAATATTACAATTTTACAATATAGAAGCATATTATTTTTTTTATTAATAACATCAAATAAATAAATTTATTTTCATTTGAAAATATAATAATATAAATAAAAAATATTAAATCATATCATGTTTATTTGTTGATAATAATAAAATATTTACATTAAATATAAATAAAATAAATTATTTTACTAAAATAAATAAATAATAATTAATACTAAGCATCTAGACAGAATTTTGACTAATTTTTAGCAGATTTATATAGGCTTAGCCGATTTTTAGGCTTAGCCGATTTTTAGGCTTAACCTAATTAGGCTTAGCCGATTTTTAGTTTTAGCCGATTTTTAGGCTTACCTAATTAGGCTTAGCCTTATTAGGCTTAGGCGTAGTTTTTAGCCGATTACGCAACACTATTTATGGCAATATATCAGAGTTGTTAAACGCACTTTTAAAAGTAGCGCGCTACCCCTATCGCTATTTGTCAAAAAAAGTAGCTCACTATTAGCTCCTATTTTTTAAAAGTAGCTTTAGCTACTTTTTAAGCTACTTTTTATAAAAAAAATTTACAAACAAATTTTTTATTTTTTGCTTATAATGTTATTGTATAGTAAATCTAAATATATTAAAAATCAACATTTATAAATATCAAAATATAGTTAGTTTTGATTATAAAAAAAATTATGTAATAAAAATAAATATTTATGGTAATTTGCTGCATTTTAATAATAAAATCATTTCAATATTATCATCCCCAAGTCTAGAGCGACGATCAGAAGATATAAGTTTTACCTTATTAAATAATCTCTCGACACTAGCACTTGAGGGTAAGGGCGTATTTAATCTTATAAACATATTTTTAATAAAAGATAGATTATCAATAATTTTATTTGCAAGTACATCGTATGTCTGGCATCCTATTATCATTTTGAGGGCTAATGCCACAGATCTTCTTTTTAAAGTTCTAGGGTCTAGCCAATGGCCTATGATTCCCAAACGAGCTCAAAAATATTTAATCAGATCAATTTATAAATATAAATAAGTTTTTACCTTCTATTATGTGTTCAACTATCTCCCGTGGTACATATATATATCTCTGATAACTTTACTATTAGAGCATCTTTTATCATTTTAAAGTTATCTGCTATTTTATTCATTAGTGTCTGGCGGCATAAAATTGTTGTACCAGGAAATAGAGTTTTAATCATCATGGTAAATGATGGATTATCAACTAAGGACATTGGCTGAACTGTATAAATTATAAAATCAACAATAACTTTATCAGCCAATTTCTGAGAAATATTGACATTTGCATTATTAATTTATATGGTTTGAATTGAATTAGTCTTTTTGGATGTAAAGTCGCCTATACCAAAATTATTTAGATGTTTCTCCATTTCCTTAAAACTCATGAACAGTCTTATAAAATAAATATTATTAGAAAGTAAAAGTGACAATTTACCTTTAGGTGCTTCTTGAGGTTATAGCTACTGGATTGATTTGAGGAAATATTTTTTTTTACATTTTAAACAAATAAATTTGAAACCAGTTTTGGTTATATATTTATTTAAAAAAAATTTCAAATCTAGGGAATGGGAAATTTGTATTATAGCTATTAAGAACATTTTCTTCCCTGGTATCTTCCATTTCATTAATATCATTGTCTGAATCACTTTCAAACGATTTGGATATCCATAGGCGATGACATTTTAAATTATTAACACGTGATTTAGGTTTATAATACAAATGAAAATATAAATTACAAATTGAAATTAAAATTAAAATATAATTTCAAAATTAAATAATAAATCATAATTATGATATTATATTTAAATTTTCATGTTTAAACTTACCTTCATTATATTTTTTTTAAAGTAGCAAAGTAGCGGCTACTTAGCAACTTTCAAATAAAGTAGCGAACTAAAAAATTAAATAATTACAAAAAAAGTAGCCGCTATTAGCTATAGCTACCAAAAAAGTTAGCGTGCTACTGATATATAAATGGGATGCCTTATTAAAAAAATATTTAAAATTATCCTAAGGTAGTTTTTTTAAACTGTTTAAATGTGTCAAATGAAAAAAAAATACATCCTTCTACAACATATCCTTTAAGGTATACTTATAGATGATATGATAGGAAGGAAGGAATAAAATGTATATAAATCAGAGACCTGCAGAGGTACCATTTGCACGGCCAAACCCGGCCCGGTTTTAAATTTTTTAGGCCCGGCCCGGATTTAAAAATTTAAGGCCCGGCCGTTCCGGATATTTTTTAAAAAATTTTTCGGAATTTTTTAAAATTATATTCGACCTGGTATATACAAAAATTCACCTATGAGGTATTTTACCATATTTTTCAGTGAGTAATCGCTTATTATTTAAAAAATACATGTAAAAAGCGAATATTTTGAGAATATTATATTGAATTTATAAAAATTATAAAACTGTTAGTTATAAAAATGGATATTTTGAGCATATACTATATTTTATATTGCATTTATAAAAATAAAACTAATATTCATAAAAATGGTAATAATATTTTGAGCATATACTATATTTTATATTGCATTTAAAAATAATAAAATTAATATTTAACTTATAAAATTGGAAAATATTTTGAGAATATAATATATTGTATTTAATTTACTATTTAATTTATAAAATAAAAATAAATCGCTATTTAAAAAATTCATGTATAATAAATAGTATTTTGAAAATATAATTAATTGCACAATATTAATATAATTTATTTTATTAAATTTTTAACAAACGAAGATAATTATATTATATAATATTGTAAAAAAAAATAATGAAAAATGTTGGATTAAAAACTTTCATGACTCAAGGTAAATATAATAAATGCAATAAATATTTGACAGTTTGCAAAGTAAAAAACCAGCATGATTGACAAACCCTATACTCAAGAAAGATATTAAAAATTCACAAATTATCATGAAGAAAGAGAAGCATATCTACCTTTTCAGGATAAGATTACTTTTTCTTTCTTCAAGAATTCTCGTAGTGGAAAACGCTCACAGCTTGCACTTGAAGCAGGAATTGCCAATTTTGCTAAAATTGGAAATTCGCTTTGATGAGCCGCCTACCACTCTAACAAATTATCCACCTTAAATGTTTCATCTATTTTTTTATTTATGTAATTATAATATTCATCATCGGGTATTGACATATTACCAGAATTACCATCGCCTCATTTGTCATAAAACGATTCAGTTTGTTTAACAACAGTCGTAATTTGACTGGTCGATGGTATTTCATTTACTTCCTGAAATTTAATATAATCTTTTATATAGTTTTCCGTCATCTTGCGATCTGTCCCTGACTATATACGTAATTGCTTGAATTTGGGACAGAGAAAAAGAGAAATAAAATGATACTTGTGTAAAACAAATTTTTCAATTAAAAAATGCTTTATATTAAGTAAAATCAATTTTATTTCTCCTTTTTCGCTTTGAAAGTTATAGCGAACTTCAAGAAGTGATATTCCTTTATTTGATTGTTTTGGTAAAATATATTCTAAAAATTTAGATATGAATTATAAAAAAATATATTAATACTTTGAATAAATTTGCAGGAAATTAATAATTAGATCGATCTGTGGGTGTTAGGTAGTGTTAACCATCACCCAATATTATATTAATCATAACTATAATATAATATAATCTTATAACCATTAACTCATAATGTAAAAATTTTTATAAAAAATATTAAGGCCCGGCCCGGATATATTTTTAAAAAAAATTTTTTAGGCACGGCCCGGATTTAAAAAAATTTTTTTAGGCCCAGCCCGGCCCGGGTATATTTAAAAAATTTAAAATACGGCCCGGCCAGGTCCGGGCCGGGCTTAGGGCCGGGCCTGCAGGTCTCTGATATAAATAAAGTTGCATACAAAATTTGAAGATAAAATATTTGATAAATTTATATACTATAAAATGTTTAAGAATAATTACTTTATTCGGTAAAATTTTCTTTCTATATTTTCGTTTAACCCTATGTTTAACATCAGAAGTTGTTGGTGCCGACTTATCAGCTATATTTGTAAAAAAACTGATATTATATAGATTCAAATAAACATTATGTAAAAGATGATTTAGGCATGCACATGTTCCAATTGAAATTAGGAGTGATTCACACTTTTTTTGTGATGTCACTAGATGTTATAAAAAAAATGGTCCTATTATATAACATTAACTTATGTAAAAATAAATTATCGCACCCACAAAAATATGAAAGGGCTAAAAATTTTTAAAAAAAAGAACCGTGATCTATTTCAAGTGTTGTAGGGGTGAGATCATTGTCGTGATCTTCGAATGATATATTAGTGATGACGATATTTCTATCTTCCCATTTTTGGCAGAGCTCCTTGAATTCCGTGATCATTTCAATGTCAGTGAAAGGTAGGTAAACTGTTCCAAACCTTATCCTATCTTCTTTAGCATTGCCACTCTCTTCTTTCATGTTGATTTCGCTATCCTCTTTCGTTTTGTTTTCATTATTTTCTTTGACCTGTTCTTTGTTAAGCAAATCATTATCGGCAGATTTTTGGATACTCTCTTCGATCGTGGGTTCAGTGGGTAGTGAGAAATTTAAGGATTCCAAATAACCCTTTAATTATAAAATAAATATTAGAAAAGTTAATAAAATATAAAAATTTCTCTGGTTGTCAGCCGAGAAATATAGGATGTCAAATTATTTTGGGTCCAATCCGTGACCCGGATTTTTATAATCATTTTACGGTCCAGCCCGTTTTAAATTTAATATTTAAATAATTTTGATTACATTTTCTAAATGGTTTCAAATTTATAAAAAATAAGATTTAAAGCAATCTGTGTTTCCAGTCTCAGCTTTCCAGTTCTTTATATATTTTTCCAATTTTTTCTCTAATTCTAAAATAAAAATTGTTTTATTCTTTTCATATTTGGTTATCGTTAATCTTAATTGTCATCAAGTTAATATAATTAAAGCTAATAAATAATACTTTTAAATCAAATCTGGAATCTAAGGGTTTCACAGAGTTGGAGCGCAAAATTTTTTTGGTTTTATCCACAAAGCTAACTTCACAATAACCTTTAAATTAAATGAGAGTATAAAATGAAAGTAGTTTATTTATAAATTAGTGTGTATTATAAATAGATCAATGTGTTATTTTTAGTGATAAACTGCTCGATTTAACCACTTTTAAAGACGGCCACATCAAGATTTTAGCCAAAATAATATTATCTAAGCTCGAAATTTCGGGGATAGATGTGCAAACCTTTCTGCCATCCATGAGCCTTGGGTAATATTTTGGGCTAAAATTTTGCATTATATGTTTTTTTTAAAACGAATAAATAGAACCATTTAACAAAGCCAATTAATTTTTCGATAGCCTACTCTATAATTTTAGAAAATTTAGCTATGAACTTTTGAATTAATTTTAATCTACATTTCCATATATTTATGACTCAAATGTTAATATGAAAAAATTATCGGAAATTTATATGGTAGATCATTTTACACATGCGGGAATATATTTATGGTAAAATCAGACTTTTAAAATTTAAAAAAACGAGTTCAATAAACGATTTAAAGCTGAAAAAAATATTGACGCTAATAATAGCATATATATATGTGTATTTATTTTTTAAACTGAAAAATATTTTAGAAGACAAATTATTAAAGATTTGACTAAACTAAGTATCCTCATACACTATAAATCATCGAATTAACAAATAATTAAAAAATGGCATATTTAGCATCAGGGTAATCTGGGAAATGCAAAAGTAGTATTAAAAAAATGTATAGATAAATGTTATAAAAAAAATATTTTGTAAAAATTCTATTAAACCGCGAATCTACCCAATATTCGTTAATTAGTAAGAGAAAAATAAGGAAAACATGTTCTAGAATATGGAAACGTAAATATTCGAAAATCAAATTAATTGGTAGCAAAACAAAAATAAAATCATGCTAAGGCCATATCCAGGCAGAATGTTTTTCAAAGCGGGTTTTGGGTAATGTTACCAGCAATTTTTTTTATTATTTGAACCTACGATTCATAAGAAATATGGGTAGATGTACAACTGGCAACAAATAAAGTCTGCTGTAAACAAATGGTAAAAACTTCAAATGTGGTCCCCTCTTCATTTTGACCATCTCGTTGTGTTGACCGTATTACTTCGATCCCTTGAGTAGTTACTATAGTTTTTACTATTGATTCATACGTACTTACGAATTAACCTTATATATTACCTTAAGTTTAATTTTCTGACATTTATTTTTGTCGATTTTTTTCCGGGTTTTCCATTGTTTCGGTAGGAAAACTACGAATGCTTTGAGTGGAAAATTTATTTATTTTATAAACTTGAAGAATACTAATAAATTATAAGTCATTATAGAAGATTAAACTTTAACTATATAAGAATACAAAAAACAAATGTCGCCATTATTATAATCCTCATATTAAATTACCTTTATATTTTAATATTTTATTATACATGATTATCAACACATTCCTTATAATTAATAAAGTTTATAATAACATAATTATATCTTTTATTATCCAATCATAAATCATCTTGACATTTTTCTATAGTATAATATTTTGTAAGCCTTCCTTTTATTTTAAATAAAAATTTTGAACGTGAACGTATTTCATTCTTCTTTTTTTTTAAAAAATACGTTCTTTTTAACGTTCATTTAATTAAAAAAGTGAAAATTTTTATTTTAAAATATGTTTTAATACAAATATTAAATCCAAAAGGTATATAGTATTGAACATAGCTCGATTTAAACGATTTCAAAAACAACTAACCCAAGATTTTAGTCAAAAAAAATCGGCAAGCCAGGAGATTAAGGTCATAAATAGCAGAAAAACTTAGGCAACTATTCGTAAAATCTTGAAGATTATGCAATAAATCTTGATTTACGAGCTGCTTGATGTTATTATATTATGCATTTATTATTTTTTTTATATTACACGTATTTTAAAAAATATATTATAGATATGAATGAACGCGATCATGAATTCGAACGCGTTCCTCTTTTTTGCAAATACATTTTAAACGCAAACGGATTCAATTTTATACTAATAAACGATGGTCAGCGAACCATATCGTTTTTTTTGAAAATAATTATAGCACTACAAAAACCGATAATAATATTAATTTCTTTAAAAATATCATTTATAATATGAGGTCAGTTAAATAAAATAATTTATACTGGATTAATTCAATAATTAAATAATGTAAATTAAACATTAAATTTTAATATATTATATAAATGATTGTTTCAATATTTTGTGATATAAAAAAATTATATAAAATGGATAATATTATTTCGCAAGTTGGGGTTATTTACCCACAAATTTTGATTTATATATTTCCGAAGTAGCATTAGGGGTGTACCGGTATTTTTAACGTATGAGATCGGGTAATTTTTTGCCTTTTGAAATATCGGTATCAGCCGATATTATTAAATTTACCGATATGGTCCGATAAAATAACCGATATTATTAAATTTGCCGATATGGTCCGATAAAATGACCTTTTAATTGAAATTTTAAATTTATTAATAATTAAGAAAATATATTTATAAAAAATTTTAAAAAATCTCAACAATTACATTACATTAGCTATAAATAAACTAGTTGGGATTAAAATAGAAAGATGGATCAAAAAAATTACAACGATTTTACTATATAAATAAATGATCAATATTTATATACTTTTACATTGGTGAGATGAGTATAGTATAATTGAATAAATATAAAATGATATAGTCAAAAAATCAGATTCTAAATATCGGATCGATAATCGGCCATTATCAATTTAATATCAGCAATATTAGATCGGCCTCCAAAAAGTGGTATAGGTAAGAGGTCTGCATTGAGGGGGGGTTTTAACCCCCTGCCAGCCGATACTTCAGACGGGAGCGTTCAAGTTTTTGGAAATATTTTCAACATTGGGCGGGTAGCGGGCTTAAAAAATAAGTAATGGCGGTCGTGGGCGGGTGAATTTAAATATTTTTTAAGGAAAATGAGCAGAACAGACTTAAGTTATTAAAAATACTAGTTTTATTTAATTAAAAATACATTAAAATAAATGAATAAACCAAACCAGCCTTAAAATAATTTCTAAAGATTAGGCTGGCAGGCGGGTTAAACAAAATTGGATATTTAAAAAATATTATAGAGCGGAGGGCGGGTTAAAAAAATTCCCAAACAACGAGTGGGCGGGTTTTTAGTGTAGACCACTAGTATGCCTATCGTCCCGTAGTATCGAATTAGGATTATGTTTATACCTTTTGTCGCCTTACAAACAGGTGAAAAAAGGTGTTTATCATTTACGGCCTATTTTAACTGAATTTAGTCCAAATATTATCTGTTTTGCAAGCTAGTTACCATTTTTTAATAATTAACCCAGCATTAAAGTACAAAGTTAGACTGCCATCTTGTTTTACTTTCTAATGATAGTTAATAGGGAAATTGATTATTGGGATTTAAAATTTTGATCATATTATTAGGGAGTTGTCAGAATTATCAAGAGCCCAATATAAAAATGTACTGTATATCAATTAATCAGTTGGAACATCATATAAATGGATCTTTCAACACACATTTACTGCCCATATTTTCAAAATTATAGCAAATTATAAAATATAGCCAAAATAATTCAAAATAACAAAATTTTAAAAGTGTGGACAGGGTGATAGAATAACCAAAATTTAATATGTTCAGGAATTAAATCTATAAAAAAAAGCCAGGTTTAAAAATCGAAAAAAATTATGGCCAGAATTTAAATTAGACCACATTGAAATTAGACCACGTCTAATTGATTAAAACAAATTGTGATTTAAATTGGTAGATTTATCATAATTTAATAAAATAAATACCGTTTTTCAGATTTATCAATTAGATTATTTTAAATAAAAATAAATATTTTATTTATAAAAAAAGTGAATAAATTACTAATGGCTAAATTTTAATGGTCACACATGCATCATTGATTTTTAAAAGCTTAAAACTAAGATAAAAGGATAGAATAGATATTTGTTGTAATGTAAAACTAGAGTAAGTATAAATTTATATTGTTGATTCAAATTCTGTAATGATTTCTCCTTTGAGAATAAATCAAATTAATTTAAAAACCAAATCCATTTTATATTTTTTTTGTTTTGGTTTAATTTTTGATTGTATATAAAAATTAAATTATATAATATTAATAAAAAGAAACAAAATTTAATTTGTCTTATTCTAGTGTTGGTGAAAGGCTCAATTTAGCCAATTTAAAAATGGTTAACTGAATATGTTAGCCAGAAGTAATTGTTCAAGCTTGAAAATTTTACCCATAGATGAGAGGTGTGGACTTATAGAGGCTTGGCTTAGGTGATAATATTTTGGTCAACATTTTGATTTAGCTATTTCCAAAAATTGGCTAAATTAGTGTTGTTAAACGGCTCAATTTGAGTCAATTTAAACACCCAACTCAATATTTTAGCCAGAATTATATTGTCTAAGCCTCAAGATTTTGTTAAGAGATGTTCAAACCTTTGTGCCACCTATGAGCAAAATCTTAAGGCTTGCATAATAAATTTACTAATAAAATATTGAGTTAACTATTTTTAAAAATCGGCTCAAAATGAGGTGTTTAACAACACTAGGCTAAATTGAATTGTTTAACAATACATTTAGCTATAATCATTGCCCACATTTTATGTATGGTGATTTTTTGAAAAATAAAATAAATTCAAATCATTCAAGTTATTTATCTTTTTATGTCACTGTAAATATTGGATAAATATTTATTATTGGATCAATTTTGATTGGCAAATATCAGATCTAAAAAATTTATGGGTTTATAAAAGAAAAAACATATTCTGAATACAATATTAATTTATTTGGACAAAAAAGATGAGATATTTTTAATGAATCATCTTGAAATTTTTACTGTGCATTTTCTAGATAAAGTTTACATGACAAACATATTTATATTTTTTGGAATTTTGGGAGTGTTCATAGTTTATTCAAAAATAATAATTTTAGATTTTTTGAGAATTTTTTCATTTTTTTAACTTTATATTTGCATTTTTTAAATAATATTTAATTGTCAGATGTAATACATTTTTTATTAACAAGTATCAGTAGTTAATAAAAAATTGATTTTTTTCAAACTTACCTTTTCATTTTTATAACTGTTAAATTATGATTGCATTTTCTAGATAATCAATCCTAGATATGATTCCAATTTTAAACATTTTTACAATCTATTTGTTTGCTAATTAGCAAGGATTTATAATTAGTCAAACATCATTAATGAAAATAAATATAAATAGTTTATTTAAAACCTATTATTGCTATTATATATTTTTTTTAGCTTCAATAAGTGGTTGGATATAAAATATTAATTTTAAAAACCTATCTACTGTCTAATCAAATATTTAAAAAAAATTAATACTACGTGAAAAATCTTTACCAAATAAATATTATAATACATGATTTAATTAGATAAAACTTTTTAAGATCAAAAAATAAATATTCAATTTTCTCACTTATATAATCATATAAATATTTATAAGATTAATAATAACAATTCTTTTCACCTATTTTCCCATCTGGATTTATGCTTGTTATTTTTCCAGGAGTATATTGAAACTTTACAGACCATCTTGCTAAAACTCTATCTCCCAATTCTAATTCCTAAAATAATTATTTAAATTATTAATTTCGATACTGCTTTATAAAAAATTAGATATATATTTACTTTTGTAATCTGAAAAAACCCATTTTTTATTTTGTTAGATATTGGTCTGATTCTTTCATTATCTAATGATAACCATTCATCATATTTATTATTCCACCCTTTGAAATGAATAAGAATTTTTCTGGCCTCCTTTTTGTAATCAATAACTTTGGCAATATACCTAATTGAAGATATGATTTATATTCAAATTATATAATCAAATTTATAGAATCAAATTTAAATATACCAATGATCGCCATCCCTTGCTTCAATATAAGATCCCTTCTTAATTGAATTATCAATTGAGAGAGTATTTTCTTCTAAATTATTAAAAAATTAAATAATAATTGCACTAATATTAAATTTATATTAACCTTTGTGCTGATCCATATCAGTTATAGATAGGATAAGCTAAACTTCTCCAATAATAAAGTGATAGACATTTATCTTAAAAGTTTGGTCTTGTACATCAAATTTTTAATTAGAAGTTGACATTTTTAGTAAAGCTATTTTTTTCTTCTTTGAAAAACAGTTTTGAGTTAAATTTTTAATACGAATATATTTATTATTTTAAGATATAATACACCAACTAGAAGTGGTGCGACAATAATATATAAAATTTTAATTATTTTCATCATATCACTCTGGTTCTTATTTTATAGTTCAAATCATTTCTAATATAGCTTCCTTGCCGTGTAAATAACTCAAAACTTCAATATATTTGCATCTTCTAAAGATTTTTACTGTTTTAGTTTTATCAATTTATCTAACATAATAATTCTGACATGGGTTACCATCGTAGTGTCATGGCTATGACGGCAAATTAACAGCATCTATTATTTGTGTGGCTATGTAATTTAAGATTACTAGCTGCTGAGAGCATATGATTGCATATTTTAGATAAGCAATAATGGTCAACTGTGTAGTCGTTTATATATCATTAAAAATGAAAGATAATCTTTTAGAAATTTAATATCTTACAAAAATTTTCTCGATTACTTATCTAGCTTCCATAATGTCATCTAAGAGGAAGCTCTAGCCACTTTATAGTTTTATGATTTAAATTGGTCGTTTATATTCTCTTCTTCAAGAATTGTTGATTTGGTTAGGCCTATAAATTTTTCCTTATTAGGTCCATTTTGTAAAACTGTCTAAAATGGTAACAGAGAGTTATATTAGTTTCATGGCCATTTGTAAATGTAACTTGCTAGAATTATATAGCCTTATGTGGTTTTTAAAAATAATTATCAGAGGCATATGTATGAATTAATTAACCTTTTTATCATTTGTAATTCTTTACGCAAAATCTTTTTATATCAGCAATCGAAAATATTTATACTGTAATAAATAGATTTTGTATTAAAAAGTATTATTTTTAGAAATGTCTTGTATTGTTTTAATTATTTATATGCTAGTTTATTTTGTATGCAAAATATTATAAATGACAAAATATGGGAGATGATAGACTTACGCCAAATGGCGTATTAGCAAGAAATAAAAGTTATATTTTTTCTTATTTATACGCATTTTCCGAATCGATAAAAAAGTTACAAAATTTAACGAATCATTTAAAATTTGTATTTATAATAAAATGGAGTATAAATAATATCGTGGACGAAATTTAGTAAACTATAAATCAATATAAAAATTTAAAATACATAAATCTTTATATATCAGATTTTAGAATGTCACCAAAAAGTACTACCATAGTAATACCTTACTTATTTCCCAATATTTAGTAAACTATAAAGCAATGTAAAAATTTAAAATACATAAATCTTTATATATCAGATTTTAGAATGTCACCAAAAGTACTACCATAGTAATACCTTTTTAAAATACATAAATCTTTATATCAGATTTTAGAATGTCACCAAAAAGTACTACCTACCTTACTTATTTCCCAATATTTAGTAAACTATAAAGCAATATAAAAATTTAAATTACATAAATCTTAAGATGGCTATGAATTAGGAAATTTAGAATGATTGAGTAAAGAATAAACTTGTGCTTCAAATAAACAAACAATTACTCATTTTTTATATAAATTTTTTTATTGAATTTATGTTGAAATTTATAAATTATTTTTTATGTCTTATTTTAAAGGTTACCTGGGAACATTAAAGTTCTTACCTTGTGATGACTTATTCTATAAAATTGACACACAACAATCCCTAACAAGCTTCAAATCTACAAACAATTGCTCATTTTTTATATAATTTTTTTTATTGAATTCATGTTGAAATTTATAAATTATAATGTATGTTTTATTTTAAAGGTTACTTGGAAACACTAAAGATCTTACCTTGTGATGACTTATTCTATAAAATTGACACACAACAAATACTAGCAAGCTTCAAATTTACAAACAATTACTCATTTTTTATATAAATTTTTTTATTGAATTTGTTGAAATTTATAAATTATATCTTTTGATATTATTTTTTTAAATAGAGTTTAAAAAATAAATTTTTCTTAATGAGCTCCCATAATGTTCTTAATTAATTTACCTAAATTAATTTAATTTTAAAAATTTATGATTGGACATTTTAAATCATTTTATAAATGATTGTATTAACTTCAATAATATATTTCAATTTAATGAATAAAATTTATTTAATACTATATTTCGTGTATAAATTATAATACTATATTTAATTGCGTCATTTAATACTACATTTCGATTTAACCCTTCACTAGAAATGTTAAAAATCATTTAACTTCAAAGGTGGGTCTATTTTATCCCTAATGCAAAATTAATAAAAATTAGATTTAAATAAAAAATTAAATTTGTAGGCAAAATTCTCCTAAAAATAACTTAAATATTTTATCACAAAAAAAATTAAATTTGTATGCAAAATCTCCTAAAAATAACTTAAATATTTTACCACAAAAAAAATTAAATTTGTAGGCAAAATTTACCTAAAATATGCGGAATTAATAATTCCTATATTTTACCACAAAAAAATTAAATTTGTAGGAAAAATTCTCCAAAAAATAACTTAAATATTTTACCACAAAAAAAATTAAATTTGTATGCAAAATTCTCCTAAATATAACTTAAATATGCGCAATTAATAATTCCTATATTTTACCATAAAAAATTTATAGGCAAAAATAAAAAATTTAAAAAAAAACCATAAAAAAAATAAAAATAATATACCCCCCCCCCCCCCCGACAGTGTTAACACTTTATTAAAACTTATTTGGTGGCAATTTTTTTTATTTAAAAAAATGATATTCATGTTATATACTAAATTTTTTATATAGTCATTTTTGAGTTGATGATTTAAAAAAAGAGGATTAATTCAGATTTTAAAAAAATCTCCAAATTTATTTTTAGAATGTAAAAATTGTATTAGCAATACAAATTAATCAAAGTAAAATAATAATTGGGATGATTATATGGTGTTGGTGTTGTAATGAAATGTATATAAAAATGGTATGATTAAAAAAGATATCTTTGTAGTCTATATATCTATTTATAATATGTTAAAATAGGATAAATAAAAAAAAATATGCATAAAAACAAGACAAATACAATCAACTTAAATACTTTTGGTAAAAAATATAAAATATCAACATTTGTAATTAATCTTCAAAATCAATAACATTTACAAAATGGGATTCAGAATTGTTAATATAAATGTTTTGGTCAAATTTTTTATATTTCCATCATCATATTTAAATGGTGGATACATTTGCCAGCAAAATGAAGCTCCATACCTAGCATACACCAATATCGGGGTATTGAGAAGTGTGGCAACACTTCGCAATTCAATATCCGTTGCCCATTCACCATTCTTACTTGCCTTTTCTATTATATACTGTTGCAAGTCATCTTCACGCGTATTTTGACCTTGAGTATAATCTAATATATTTTTTATCATTATTTTTTGCAGCATCAGCAAGACCATATGTGATCTAATCAAACCATAGGAGTCTTGTTTTCCTGTTATCTCCATATATACATCTAATTATTTTTTAAAAAATTTAATTATGTTACTGTTTCTAAAAACCTATCAATGTTTTAAAAAAATAATATTATGAATTAATATAGGATATAATCATTAAAAATTAAGGTAAAGAAAGAAACAAAACCATATTCTATGTATATTAGTAAAAAAAATACAACCAAAATTATTTTTAAATTTTTAAATTACCGGTAAAAACAATTCCCATCTAGCTCAATTGTTTCCAATCGTGATGGAGCAGTTAGCACCCTTCCTATATTTTGAGAGACTTTCTTTTTTGCTGACGCTAAATTTAAGCGAGTAGCATGATATTTCCTCCAAATATTGGTAGTTGGATTATAAAAATGTTTAAATGTATGTTGAATGATTTTAACGAGTGGGTCATCTATGGCTTTAAATATTTAAAAAAATTAAATTAATCATGATATTTAAGAATTACAATTAACTGTATATAATTATAAAATTACAATTTTTGAACTTTGAGTCTGAGTATACAAAGTCTACTAAGTCCACTTGAAGATCCTTCAAAAGGTGTAAAGAAGATTTTTTATAATCTAAAAAAGTTTAAAAATTTGTCTTTATCAACAATTTACCTTTGGTATCAACTATTTTTGGGTCAACAAAGTTTTGGGAATTAAGGTCTCGTTGAAATTTTAACTTTTTATCTATATGATTTTCTTTGGATTTGTATGCCTTTTCTATATAATATACTATTAACAATAAATAAAGTCATTGTACTTTTTTGTGAATCCAATATTGTAAATCCTAATGGTCTCCGCTTTTATTTAATTTCTTAGGTAATTGAATTTATTTTATGATATTATTTATATATTCATTTTCTTGACTATAAATTGGGACATTATTTTTATTTTACTGTATATTAGGATCCACGTTTGAGTGTGTAGATCCTCATTTAATACATTTGCTATACTATCATTGGAGAATATCTGACCATTATTTTCATTTGAGCTTGTATTGAAATTATTTGAGGAAATAATTGGTAATATGCCTTTCATAGCAAAATCATGTAGTTTGTCAAAAGCCTGAGCAAACCCATGTTTCAAATTAGGTGGTAATAATGATATGGTGTGAAAAAGCATATTTTGATTTTTAAAATAATTATAGGATGGAATTTGGTCATTAAAAAGGTTTTTTTTGTATTTAATCCCCTTTTTGTTATTTAATATATCTATATTATTATTATTGATAAATGTCGATGGATTTTTAAAATAATTTTTGTGCCACCTATGATGACATAATTTTTCATCGTAAAGATCACTATTATTTTTTTTCCTTTCCATAAATACGTGTCTGCATGGTAATTGCATATTTAAAAAAAGGGGCAATCACAATAAAACATATTTGATTGGCAAACAAGATTGCAGTTATCACCAACATTATATTCATATTTTAACTCTTTGTATGCATATTCTGTTAACAATTTTCTATAATTAGCCAATGTTTGATCTTCCTCATTT